TGAGTGTGATGTTGCTATGTTACAGAATTATATACTTATGATTTTGTAACCAAAAAAAGAGTGTTAGCCCTGGCTGGTGTGGCTCAGTGGACTGAGTGCCGGCCTGCAAACCAACGGGTCACTGGTTCAATTCCCAGTCAGGGCCCTTGTCTGGGTTGTGGGCCAGGTCCCTGGTTGGGGGTGTAGGAGAGGCAACCACACATTGACGTTTCTCTCCCTCTCTTTCTCCCTCCCTTCCCCTCTCTCTAAAAAGAAATAAAATCTTCTTTAAAAAAAGATTTACAAAAAGGGGGGGGGGGCGTTATTTGTGCCAGACCCTGTGTTATGCCTTGATGCAAGGACACAGAACACTGATTGCTGCCCAGAACTGAGGATAATCCTTTTAACCTGAGATTCTTCTCAAAGTCAAGGAATGGTGAAGTGCATTTTCCCCAGATTATTCTGACAAGAGGAAACGCTGGATTTACTTGCAACTCCCCCATACAATGCCTTTGTAAGTCTGTTGCCAAAGACCTGCCTGTAGGGTCAGCATAAACACAAGGCTGTTACCTGGTCATGGACAGGCCCATTTGAAGCAGTCTGTGTGCTAGAGTTAATGATTATACTCTGACCAGTGTGGCTCAATTCATTGGGTGTCATTCCGCAAAGCAAAAGGCCACTGGTTCAATTCTGGTCAGGGCACATGCCTGGGTTGCTGGTTCCATCCCCGGTTGAGGTGGCCAGGGCACATACAGGAATCAACCAATGATGCATAAGTGAGTGGAACAATTCGACCTCTCTCTGAAATCAATTAAACACATGGTGTTTGGGGAGAGGTTCCTATTTTCTAAAGCCTATACCTCACTCTTTCTGCAGCCAGAAGAACGAAGACAGGCAGGGAAGGCTGCTCTTGCTGTCCTGGGCTTCACTGGGTGGAATCATCTTACTGAATCCACCTCAGTGCAGTCTTTTCCTAGATTAAGACCTTCTGCTTCGGAAGGAAGAGTTGATGAAAACACCAACCAAACCAAGACCAATTTATGCAGTGACAATGAGCAATATAATAGCAAGAGCACCAAGTACTCTCACCCCTGACCCTGTACTTCCTACCCTGTGGGCACCTCCGCAGAAAGTAGATGGTCTTTAGAAGCATGCTTAGTTAGCAAAGACTTCTGAGGAAGGACTCCTTACGTGGCTCAGGAAAAAGCTTGATGTGTCACCTACAGGACAGAGGAGCACCAGCCTCCGGGTGGACAGAATGATCCTTTGATCCAGAACCGCTCCTGAACTCGGGTGGCCAGACCAGCCTTATCCCCAGAGACCCCTCATTCCTCCCTTCCCTGGCTGACCAGGCCTTCCTTCAGCTGGATATTTCTTCTTATATATGCTGATACCTTCATTCACAAAGGATGGTCCAGCCCTGGGCACTCAGCTCTGTGTGGACTGTGTGAGCAGACACAGCCTCTTCGCCCCTGCCTGGAGCTCAGGGGACCAGAGTGGGCACCGGCTGGCACCGAAGAAAATCCTTTCCTTTCTTTCCAGGGTGGGGGTGGGGTGGACAATCTCACTGCTCCCCCTTCTCCTGGACCCTCCCTGGTCTTCCTGCCGCTTGAGTTAAGTGGGCAGGATGCTGGGATGGTCCTTTCCTGCATTGGACTGGCCAGAGGGCTCGATCTTCAGGCGGGAGAGAAGGGTTCATCCAGGATTTTGAGGCGGCGCCTTCCCGGCGGGTGCCGGGCCCTGACCCAGGAGGGGCGTGTCCCCACTCTCACCTGCTATTGGGCAGGTGGGACTGCCGGGCCTCCCGCAGGGGCCAGTCTATAAATGCGGGGCCAGTGGCCCCAGAGCCAGGTGCGGGCGCAGGATGGTGGACAGTGTGTACCGAACCCGCTCCCTGGGGGTGGCGGCAGAAGGGCTCCCGGACCAGTACGCAGATGGAGAGGCTGCGCGCGTGTGGCAGCTCTACATCGGAGACACCCGCAGCCGCACAGCCGAGTACAAGTCCTGGCTGCTCGGGCTGCTGCACCAGCACGGCTGCCAGCGAGTGCTCGACGTGGCCTGCGGCACTGGGTGAGCCTAGATGGGGGGCCGGGATCTGGGGAGCGTGGCCACGGGACTGCAGGACCATGGCCAGACACATCCGGGCAGTCCTCGCCGCCTGGGCCAGAACCGTGCCTGCGCGGGCAGAACGGGCGCACGGGCGTGGGACGCACGGGAGAGGCGGACTGGAGGGCGCTGGGACGGAGCTGGGAATGAGGGTGCAGGCCCAGTGGGTGGGGAAGGCGGTTCGCCCCGGCAGCGCCAGAGCTGGGCTTTGGGCCACAGCGGCAGGAGACCTGAGCCTGGATCCAGCATTATTCCTAGGGTGATGGCAATTGCTAACAATTCATGTTTGCTCAGCATTCGTCCATGCCAAGCACTCTGCCAGGAACTTTTGAAACACGTTAAAAAAAAAAAAAATCCTAAGAAGACCCACCCTGGCTGGTGTGGCTCGGTTGATTGAAGCACTGGCCCATAAACGTAAGGTTCACAAGTTCAACTCCTGGTTGCACACATGCCTTGGTTACAGGTTTGGTCCCAATGGGGCACATATGAGGCATCCTGTGGATGTTTCTCTCTCACATCGATATTTCTCTCCCTCTCTCTTTCCCTCCCTTCCCCTCTCTCTAAAACCAATAAGCATGTACTCAGGTGAGGATTTAAAAAAAGGAAGTTAACATTTTATAAAATATATTTAAAAATTATCCTCACAAAACCTGAGGAGATAGCAATATCACTTTTACAGCTGTGGAAATTCTGCCTCAGAGAAGTAAAGATCGCCCATCTGGCCGAGAGGAGAACCGGATGAGGTCCGTTAGGGTCTGGCCCGTGCTTTAAACCACCATGCGAGCCACCTTCTGTTCACAAGTTACTTCACTCCGGGGAGCCTCAGTTTGCCCCAGCTCTCAAATGGGGTACTCAATCCTTCACAGGATTGCCAAGGGGATTAATGCGCATTTGTAGACTAACTCTGAATGGGTGCTAAAAACCAAAATGCAATATTGCTTCCCGGTGGTAAAAAAACAGATTTGTCAGGCCACTTGAGTTCCGTGGCGAGGGCCTAGGGGGAGGAAGCAGAGGAATGGGGTCTGGAGGGCCTCCTCGCCTTCCCAGGCCCGCTGACTGCCCCTCCCTGCCTCTCATCCCCGGCCCTGCCCAGGGTGGACTCCATCATGCTGGTGGAGGAGGGCTTCAGCGTGACCAGTGTGGATGCCAGCGACAAGATGCTGAAATATGCACTTAAAGAGCGCTGGAACCGGCAGCATGAGCCCGCCTTCGACAAGTGGGGTACGTGGGTCCAGCCAGGCAGGCCCTCCCAGCCCAGCCACCAAGGACACAGTCCTCTCTGCCCTGGGCTCCTGGGGTGGGGTGTTTTGTTTTCCTCAAGGGCACAGCAAAATTACTGTCACTTCCTTGAAAAGGGAGGCTTAGTTACCACAATGAGGTATCAGGTATGAGGGGCTAGTTTTAATTATGTGCATAATGTCTTGTCCCTCCCTCCAAATAAAAACCCATAAGCACAGAGCCATCCTTCGAACCATGGCTCCCTCCTCTCTTGACCCCACCTCCCCTTCATCCTCCATCTCCATAATGATCCCCTTCCTCTGACTGGATGTGGAGTCCCCGTGTGTCTCTTGAAGGGGAAACTGAGGCAGAGCTGCACTCAGCAGAGATGGGTTCTGCTGGTACCATGATACCAGCCCGATCTCCCCTTCCTGGTCCCCAGTCATTGAGGAAGCCAACTGGATGACTCTGGACAAAGATGTGCCCCAGCCTCCAGAGGGTGGCTTTGATGCCGTCATCTGCCTTGGAAACAGTTTTGCCCACTTGCCAGACTGCAAAGGTGAGAGAGGGTGTGGCCTTGGGCATGGCTTTTGCTTTGGACTATGCCCCCCTTGCACAGACCCCTGGGCGCCTGCTCTCCTGCCAGAGAAGACTATGCCTTTTTGCCCCTCTTCGCCTTGGCACTGGTGTCCTGGGGGAGTAGAAAGACAGGAGAGGGACTGGTGCTGACACAGCCTCTCCGCCCCTGCTCGGAGTTCAGGGGACCAGAGTGAGCACCGGCTGGCACTGAAGAACATTGCGAACATGGTGCGGTCCGGGGGCCTGCTGGTCATCGACCACCGTAACTACGACCACATCCTCAGCACAGGCTGTGCGCCCCCAGGAAAGAACATCTACTATAAGGTGGGCCCCAAGGGGGGGCCCGAGTGGGAGGTGTGATTCTGGGGCCTGGCCCCCACAGCGGTCACAGAGACTGATGCAGCCTGCACCACACTTACAGAGTGACTTGACCAAGGACATCACGACATCCGTGCTGACAGTGAACAACAAGGCCCACATGGTGACCCTGGACTACACGGTGCAGGTGCCAGAGGCTGGCAAGGACGGTTCCCCTGGTCTGAGGTACCTGCCTGGCTAGGTGGGGAGTGATTTTGCGGGGGGGGGTTGCTGAGGCCACCAGTCCTCCTGATTGATCAGGGTCTCTGTTGCAGTAAGTTCCGGCTCTCCTACTACCCTCACTGTCTATCGTCCTTCACCGAGTTGCTCCAAGCAGCCTTTGGGGGCAAGTGCCAGCACAGCATCCTGGGTGACTTCAAGCCTTACAAGCCAGGCCAGACCTACATTCCCTGCTATTTCATCCACGTGCTCAAGAAGACGGACTGAGCGTGGCCTCAGCTCCCACAACCCTCTGCCCAGGTGCTGCCAGGCTCTGTCTGGGGAGCCCCACACCAGCAGCACCACCACGTGTAGATCCTGGGGGTAAGGGGAGGGGCCAACTGCAGCCGGGGTGCAGGGATTGGGTTTAGGCTAATGGAAGGATGACAATATAGTCGCTGTCTTTTTCAGTTCCTGCATGCCTTGTGTTTATGTCAGAAGGATCAGGCTCCAGTGGAGCCCACCTTGCCCTCCCTTGGGGCTGACTCCTCTCACAGTCATGCTCTTCCCCACGCCATGCCAATCTCAGACCACACCACCAGCAGAGGGCAGCATACACTTTATTTTCAGCCACAGACCAGGCTCCCTCCAGGCCCAGTTCCCAGAACTCTAGGCTCCCACCCCTCTTCCTAAGCAGAGAGGCCTCGGTCTTGGGGCTGGTCTGGAAAAATGGACAGAGGGTGCCTCCTGAACTCTCTCAGGGCTCCCCCACTTGGCACCCGGGGGATCTCCTGGAGGTAGGCAGCCTTCAGAGGAGTTGGCAGCAGCCTGAGAAAGAGCTCTTTGCTGTCTCAGGTCTCTGCAGATGTCTAGGTACCTTCAGCACTGCGGGCAGGGTCGGGTCCGGGACTGTAGGAGGCTCCTAGGAGGCAGCAAACTTGCGCTGGATGCGCTTGTACTGGAGCAGTTCCTGCTCGCTGACGGAGGGCTGCAGCCGGGTGGCAGCCTGCAGTAGGTCCTCCATGGTGAGTAGCAGCACTGAGCTCCCAGGCTCCAGCCCTAGGGGGATGCCAGGGGGAAGGTGAGGCCAGGGTTCCCATCCCTGCTGGCGAACTCTGGCTATGCCCAAGCAAGGGAGAGCCCTGGAGGAGCACTTTCTTGACCAGAGTCCCCCGAACGTCGAGAGTCCCTCCTCTGAAATCTGGAACCCGGCCTGGTTTTCCCACTAGCTTTTTGGTTGACCTCTGGGGCTGGCGGGTGGCTCACCTTTCTCCAGATCCTGAACCCTTCGTTTGAGGGCAGCTGTCATGGCATCAGAGCAGAGGGAGTAGAGGTCTGCACCCGTCAGCTGGGGAGGGCAGTGGTCCAGCACGTTCACCAGGCTCACAGAGGATTCCAACTTGAATCTGTTGTGGGGATACGGAAAGTTTTATCCAGCATGCCCTACTCCCTCAAAAGGCACCCCTGACCAGCCCATTCTGCACACTGCACTATTCCCCAACCAGCCCAAGGCCTAAACCCTCTGGGTGTCTCCGACAGGGCATACTTGCGTGTGATGGCGCTCAGAACACGGAGCTGGGAGGCACGGTCCTCGCTCACCCCCACAAACACCAGCTTGTCAAATCTTTAGGGAGAGGGGCGGGCGTACACGTCAGGGAGCCCAGCATCAGGGTGAGTGAAGGAAGCACAGGATGGGCTCAAGGGACAAGTCTAAGTGGGCGTGGCAGAGGAGAGGTACAGGGTCCGCACCTGCCAGGCCGCAGAAGGGCAGGGTCCAGGAGGTCTGGCCTGTTGGTGGCTCCGATCACAAACACATCCTGAGTGCTATGGAGCCCATCCAGCTCCGCCAGGAGCTGAGACACCACCCTGCAAAGGAGGCGTGAAGGTGAGAGAGTCCTTGGCCCATCCTCAGGTTCGGCCCTGACCGTGGTACCTCTCCTTGCAGGCCTTCTCCCAGTGCCCCTGCTCAGTCATGTCCTGTGCACCCTTCCATGTGGGTGCCCATTCTCCTCGGCGGCCCACACCCAAAGCCACAGCCCCTTGTCCGTCGACCACACTACCTGAGAACCGGAAGGGCAGGAACTCTATGGGTTCTGAAGACTGCTGCCACCTATCTCACATCCCTCGGTCCTGGACCCCAGACTCCATTCTGGCTCAGACCCCCACCTGTCCATCACCCCTCCAGAGTCTCCACTTCGCCCCCGGCTGGGGGCCAAGGAGTCCAGTTCGTCAAAGAAGATAATGCATGGAGCTGCCGCCCTGGCCCTGGCAAACACTGAGGAGAGAGAGGGCCCACAGGAGGGGGAATCTCAGGGGAGTTTGAAATCAGGATATGGGGGAAGAAAACCCAGGTTTAACAATCATAACTAGCACTCCAGGTAACAGGCCCCACAGGCAGGAACCTGACTCACGGAAAGGAAGACTAGGAATGACCACCAGCAGCCTGAGGGTCAGCGGGGGTTGGGGGCGGGAGCGGGTAACACAGGGGCCTTCAGGGTTTGGGAAGGACTGGAAGGCCTGCTCTGTCCACTCACCTTCCCGTACATTCTCCTCACTTTGGCCCACATACATGTTGATGAGCTCTGGCCCCTTCACACTGAGGGAGAGGATTGGGAGGGTAACGCTCATTTAGACGCACAAACACACCGTCAGCCTCTTGGTCTGCCCCGCTTGCTCCCAGCCTGTGCAGTGCCCATTCCACCCTCCATCCCTTCGGGCCCCCAACCACCTGAGGAAGGTGAGGCTGCACTCAGTGGCTACTGCCTTGGCCAGGAGGGTCTTGCCAGTGCCTGGGGGCCCATGGAGCAGGAGGCCTGAGCGCCGCAGGCCCAGGCTCAGAAGCTCAGGGTGCTCTAGAGGGAGCTGGATGGTCTCCAGAATTTCCTTCTTCGCCTCCTGCAGCCCGCCCACATCGTGCCAGGATACCGAGGGGATCTAGGAGATGCAAAGTGCATGGTGGGGGCTATGCGGGAGCGGGGAGCTCCGGTCCCACCTCCAAGGGCCTGGAGTGTGTCTACCTTGGGGGCACCGATGGCCTGGGAGTGAGCCGACTGCAGCTGCTCCAGGGCCTGTGTGAAGTCCTCAGCCAGGAGAGGACAGCCAGCAGCAACCAGCTCCTCCTCATCCTCCTCACTCAAGCCACCTGCCAAACTGCAAGGAGAAGCTCAGGCAGCTGTCTGGAGGACCTGGCCCAAGGCTCTCTCCCCTCGTCCCACCGGGGTCCTTGTTCCTACTCCCTTCCTCACCAGGCCCCACCCACCCATTATTTCCTCCTGTCTCCTTTGCCCTTCTGTGTCCAACGTTCTTACCCAGAGTTCCTGATCCTGGTGCAGGCTGCCCTGCTGCTGTGGGTCAAAAGGGCACAGAGATCTCCCACCACGAAGCCCTGGGGAAGCACAGGAAAGGACACATGAGCAGGGCACAGCAGGCAGGGGCTCTTGGGCGGCTGGTCCCCCAGCTGGAGCAGAGGCCCAATGCTGATGCCTCGGGGCTCTCTGCCCTCACTGGCAGGGCAGCGGGTGTGAGCCCCCATGACAAGAACAAGGGAGGGCCAGGCCCTGCCGTGGTACTCACTGCACACTGCCGAGCCAGCTGTGCCAGGTTCACCTCTTGGCCCAGGGGCAGGCGGGCAGTGAGGGCCTGCAGGATGCTGAGCCGCTGCCCCTCGGACAGCACGGGCACCTCCAGCTCATGAGGAAACGCTGTCTGCACGTTGGCAGGCAGGTCCTGGGCCCGGCTGGTGGTGGCCACAACCATTAGTGGAGGGCAGCTGCAGGCAGAGGGGGACTGAGGGAGAGAACGCGGCTGGCAGCCCCTGAGCACTGCTAGTCCTGAGGCTGGTGCAGGAGGGCGGGGAGGTGGGTGGGTGCTGAGATGGGATAGGGGGACGAGCACCCCAAGGCTTCCTGGACGGGGCTCCATGGGAATTCCCTGAGGGGGGCCTGTGTTTCCCCCTCACACAGGGAGCTCACCAAGGGCAGAGGCTGTGCTTTTTCAGCATCCTAACATTCCCCAAGAAAAACTAGGGACCACATCCTTCTCCCTCTGGACACCCCTAAGCTCCTCAGGGCTGTCAGGAGAGCGGCCAACTTGGCCATTGAGGTTGGCTGGTGAGGACAAGAGGATGAAAGGCTGAAGAGAGGGAGGAGGGCCCGGCCCAGCTCTGTACATTACCTGGTGAGGGGGTCCTCGTCGAGGAGGAGGCGACGCAGTGTGGCCACCACACGGGCGTCCTCACCTAGCCCATCACGGTCCCGGCCCAGAAGGTCTAAGGCTGTCAGCAACAGAACCACGGGCCGGCAGTGCCGGGCCCGGGAGAAGGTGGCCTGCAGTTTTGCCTCCACAGCCCCACTGCTGTCTGCACAGAGGCTGGAGCAGGGCACCTGGGGAGAGGGTTCCAAAGGGCTTGTGAGCAGCGGCAGGAGAATGGGGGAAGGAGTCTGAAGAAGGTGCAGGCTGTCTCTTTTTGAAGGGCAGGGATGGAGGAAGAAGGTAATGCTGGCCAAGTCCTACATCTTCTTTATCCTAACCTCATTCCCTGGACTGTCCATCAAAATCTTGAAAACACCCTCCTTGAAAGCATTTCTTAGGAGCTGAGCATCATGGGAAAATAGCTGACCCACTGGGCTGAGGTGTCAGGGCCAGGCTAGTAGCCAGAAGGGAGAGGGCAGAGGGAGAGAGGCAGAATCTGGGCTGGGGAGGGGAAGCAGTTGGGGTTCTACCTCCGGGTACCCTCACCTTGAGTAAGTGGAGCCCGAGACGGCTGCAGGCAGCAGCAACTGCTGTGGTCTTCCCACTGCCCGGGGGGCCTCGCAGGAGGACACTGCCAGTTCCTGTCAGCAGGGCACCCCTGCAACCAGAGAACAGACACTCATCTCCTCCTTCTGCCTGAACTTTAGTGTCCCCAGGAACAAAGGTACCCTTGGCTCCAGAGCGCAGACACCCTGTTTCTCGCTCCTTGAGGCACCCCCTCCCCGAGGGCTGTCTCCACACGGTGAGGCCATACTTCCCACACCGCCTGTGGTGCTCCGGCAGTGCCACAGAGCATGTCCAGCAGCCAAGACTAAGTCCCTTTTGTCACTGCTGTTTTCAATAAAGCCTTGACTGCTGTGTCTGGTCTGGACCGTATTGGAATCAGGGCGGGCCTGTGTCTACACGTGGACCAGTGGTGTGGGGGGCTGTGTCTTTCAGGGTCTGGGTGGTGAAGACTGGGATGGCTAGTGGGCTCCCTAAGGGCAAAAGCAGTCTCAGAGACAGCTGTCCCTGGTGGAGAGTCTTCCACAGCCAGCCTTGGAGGGTGGATGTTATCCCAGGAAAGGGGTCTGGGAATCTGCTGACAGAAAGCATGTGGGCTAGTGGCCTTGGCATACTTCCTTGAGGAAGGTTCCCCCAACAGCACTTCCACCAGGGCACTGGGAACTACTGATCTGGCCTGCTGCCACCTCACCACCCCCTGCCCCCAGGGATGTTGCGCGCAGGCGTTCCTCACTCTCTGAGGCTGCGGCCGCCGCACTCACCCTGGCTGGAGGCGAGGTTTCAGGACAGCACACAGTTCAGTCACCAAGGCCTCCAGGCCTGGAGGAGATAAGCTGCTCCAGAGACTAGATTCTCCTGAAGGGACCCTTGGAACAGGGCTCAGTGTAGAACCCACCTGCAAAAGGTGGGAGAACTGTTAGCTTCTAAAAGTTGTTGTTACTCCTTTCCTCAGGTCTACTCCTACCCCAGGGCCTCACCAAATACAAGGAGGTATGGGTGGTATCGGCCAGGTAGGCGCTGGCTGGCCCACCTGGAGCTTCCCCAACTGTTTTCTTCACTTTAAAGAACATCTCCTGCCACCTGCAGGAAAGAGGCTCAATGAATTCCAGATCCAGACCCACCTATCCCCTCCCAAGGACAAGGTGGCTGTCTCCATCACAGAGGCCCACTGCAGGGACAAACTCAAGACAGGCACCGAAAAGTACCCAGACATGGTGGAGACTGGGCTGGGGAGAGTAGGGGGAAGCAGTGGTCCTTCGTATCTCTCTCACTGGATCGCACTCACTCTGAGGGCAGGGGCTATGCCTGTCCCCCGCATCCCACAGGGTGACCTTGGAGAGCCGTGGGGGGCTGCCCAGGCAAATGGCCTACCCACTCGTTCCAGTGGGAGACGCCACTGCTGCTGCCCGAAGCAGTGCTCATCTGGCCATTTCCAGCAGCTTCACAATACAGTCTCTCCCCCAGGCACACGCCCACCAGTGCCCCCAGAACCTCAGAGGGAACGGCCCTCGGTTCTTAGTCAATGATCCACAAAATCTTAGTGCAGGCAGATTCCTCAATAATTACATCTAATGACTAAGGATTCTCTATTTGGGCTGCACATTAGAATTATCCGTGCAACTTAAAAAAAAAGCAGAACATATTTCAATACACAACCTCTGTACAACCAAAAAATAAATCACCACAGCAAAATTAAAAAAAAAAAAGGAATTTCATTTGCAATGCATGAGAAATAGTTAACATTTTAGTAATAAATAAGCTCTTAGAAATCAGCAACAAAGACACTAATAATCCAAGGAAAATGGAACTGTGAAACCTTTAAAAATCAACGTCTCTCACACATTGTATGATTCCATTCAGCGATAAGTGGTTGCCAGGGGCTGAAAAAAGGAGGGAGGAGGGAGTGGCCACTAATGGGTCGAGGTCTCTATTAGGGGTCATGAAACTGTCCTGGAATTAGGTTACTCGACCTTGTGAATACATTAAAAACCATCAAACTGTACATTCTAAAAGCATGGGCTTATGATATGTGAATTATATCTCAATTAAAAATGAACATTTCCCCATTCTTTGGGGAAAAATCAAAAGACTGCACGGGCCCATTTCACCTGGGTCTCATCCAGTAGGTCTGGGGTGTGCTCAGCCATCTGCATTTTTCAAAAGCTTCCCAGTCATAAGTAGGGCTATACAGTCACCGGCCAGTGTCAGAGTGAACTAGGGTTACTCAGCCTCCTACTGCTGCTACTGCGGGTAGCAGTTACTAGCCCACCTTTTCAGATAAAGAAATGACGAACTATTTCCCTCTTTAATCCTCAGGCAGCAAGGCAGTGAGAGCAAGTCAGTCTGCAGCCTTGACCTTGTTAAGGTCCAGTCAAGGTGCTAACTCCTTTGCTCACAGTGTCCCAGGTCACAAAGCCACTCCCTCTGGTAGCAAACGGGGAGTGGTGGGAATGCCTTGAGGTAGCAAGGGGAAGCATACCACGTTAGCATCATGAAATTCTTGGAACCATTACAGTAGGCAGTGAATATGCTAAGAATTAGTACACAGGGAAAAGTGTGTCTCACTATGCATCATTGTAAACAGTGAGCTGGTCTATAACCTAGGATCTCACTCAGTGCCAACATCCTGAGTCACAGTGCATGTGGCCAGCACTGGGGTCCAAGGAGGACCGGCACTCCACTGGAGGGCTAGGGAGAGACTCCTCTTTTCCCTGGAGGGCAGTTGGACCACTTCACGGAGTATGAGGGCCAGAACTTTGGAATATATCTGGACTCTGCTGGAAAACACTTGATTGTGAAGCTGGCTCCCATCAACCTGGTTAGGGGAGCAGAACACAGGACAGAATCTGAAGCTGCTACTCTGTCATAGGGATCTCCCTGCAGAGCTCCCCTTACTGAGTCCAGAGCAGAGGACTAAGGCACTCATCCTCATCTGTCCTTGGATCCAGCCGCCCATCCCCACCGTTCTTTCCAGGACCTGCTCAGGGGGAAGAAGTATGTGCTCAGCACCCAGAGGAGGGAGACAGATCTCTCCAGGGTTAGAATGGCAGACATCCAGGAACAGGATTAGCTTGCTGCTCTGTCTCAGGAGAGCCCAGTGCCTGTTTTCCTTCAAAAGTACGAAGGGCATTCTGCAGTTTTCCTGCAGAAAGCTAGCTCATAGACACTTGCTATATTTAGGATGGGAGACAGAAGTAGGAAGTGACTGATATGTGCCAGCATGGCATTTTCCACTGAGCCCCATTGTAGATTTGACCTGGAAAAGCTCAAACAGGTGCCATGGGTTACACAGGACACTTCCACAGCCCTGAGATCGGGCAATGGCCAGAACCAGGCTCTGAATGTCAGTCAAGGATAAATCAGACACCCCAGACAAGACATCTCTCTCTGGGAAGAGGACCCTGCCTGGCTGGGCCCGAGACCTCAGTTCTGATGGCTCTTACACCCAAGTTCCCGCCGGGTGGTCCCATCACCTCACTGAGATTTCCCTGAAAGTTGGGTTTGTGTGTCTATCAGTTGTGTTCTGGTAAACTGCTATGGGAAATCAGCCCTGAATAGAGGGACTGGTTGGGGTATAGGGGCCTCGTATTCTTCACCCTTTACATAAGGCCAAAGCAGTTTCTGAATTCCTTGCCTCACCATTTTACAAGGAACCTCTGTGGTCAAGAGTCAACAGGAAGAGAAAGGTTAGACTCCCTGTTTTAAGGTGCAGAGACTGAACCTTGGCTCAGTTCTGCTCTATTTCTTATTCTCTGTTGAGGATAAGGACAGAGAGAAGGCGCTCAAGGACAGCACAACCCTTCTCTTCCTCTTTTGGGACATAAGACTGAGAAGCAGCCCATGTAACCTCCACCAGTTAGGGTCTCCTGCCATTGAGTATGTGGGAAGTATGGCCCAAACAACATTGTGATTGAGAATGGAAAACAAGGAATTCCACCTTGTGCTAGGCCGTGAAGTTATTTTAAATGCTTTACTTTATCTAGGACCACCATTCAATTTGAGGATAAGCCCCTCCCAAAGCTAGCAGGCAGTGGTTTTCACTTTTTTTCAGTCATGTGCCTATTTGAGAACCTGCAGATTACGTACCTTCTTTCCAGAAAAGTGTGTAACAACACAATGTTCTTATGCACAAAATTATTCCATACCACTTGGGAGGAGGGGGATGTAGAACTCCTGCACCCAGATTAGGAATTCTAGCTGTAAGACAGGAGACAGCTGCATACCTGGGCAGTTTCTCTGGGCTTCCTTCCAGGATCTCTACTTGCCCAACTGTTGGCACACACAGAACATCCCCTTCCTGGACTGCCCTGTAACACAGCAGTGGCCCTGGTCAGCTCACAGTGGGAGTCAAGAGCATGTTCCTGACATGTTCCTGCCCACTCCCACCTCCAACACAAACACTAGTTCTTAGGAGCCTACTGCCCACCCAGAGATCCCAAGCAGTTGCCCAGAGAACAAGTCTGATCTAGAATGAACTGGAGGAAATGGCTAGAAAGGGGAATCAGAAACCAGGGAGAGCCCCAGATGGTGTGGCTCAGTGGATTGAGTACTGGCCTGTGAATGAAAGGGTTGCCAGTTCAATTCCCAGTCAGGGCCCATGCCTGGGTTGTGAGCCAGGTCCCCAGTAGGGGGCGTGTGAGAGGAAGCATTGATGTTTCTCTCTCTCTTTCCCCCTCCCTTCCCCACCCTCTAAAAATAAATAAAATCTAAAAAAAGAAAAAGAAAGAAATAAGAAACCAGGGAGGAATGAAGCAGGATCCTGGCTTTCCTGGAGCCCTCTCAAATTGAAGTAGTCTCTCAGTTTAGAAATGTCCAGATTTCTCTACTATTGTCTGACATGCTAAGAGGCTTCTAGCCACAATATTGCTTAAAATGTGGCTCTTTAAAATCGGAGGCTCCATAGTACCTGGATCTAGGTATGATGGGATAGGAGAGCAACTAGGGTAAGACGCTATCCTCCTAAAAAAAAGATGCTATCCTAAAAAAAAAGGGGGGGGGGCAGCTAACCTGGGTGTCTGAAAGTGCCGGTAAAGAGCATGGTCATAATTCCCATTAATGCTGTAGTGGGGAGAAGACACAATTTCGATGTGTAGCTCTTTGGCAAACGGAGGCCCAGGCAGCACTGAGCAGCTTCTTTTGTCTTCAGGGGTGCTGGAGCCTTCCAAGTATCTCTATGAAAGAAATACCCACCACCTTATAATATTCCAAAGAGTCACACTCTGCCCTATCTCCTAGCAGCCAATATTTCTACTTTCATCCTCTTTCATTCCCACAGGCTTATGGGAAGAGAAGCCTACGGTAGCAGAGCTGAATACCAGTGTCTTCCCTAGAAAACAGAAACCTCTCCTAATGAGCACGAGGAAGAGGTTTCTGACTGTGACTTTTCTGACATTAGTTCCAAAAAGTTCCCTAAAAGATAAGCCTTTTGAGATATATTTCAGTTGGACCAGAGCCACTAGAATGGTGGACATTTCATTCCCACCATCCTTTGAATGGCAACAGGCAGTCACTGGGATTGATAGTAAGTGGACATTAATGGGCATACTCTTGAATCCAGGCTGTGGGAAAAGGATATGATCTCACTGAAGCTTAAAGGGTTAGTTTAGTTGAATGAGCTCCAGTCTGAGGACTCCAGTAGTTTTTCCTCCATTCAGAAGGAAACCCACTCCTGGCTCCCATTCATGCATATCTTTTAGCTCTTCTTGACATCCCATGCCCCTAACTGGGTATGCCAGCAGCACCCATTAGAACTTTGTACGGTGATAGAAATGTTCTACATTCATATGTGTCTATTGAGCATTCGGCATGTGACTAAACCAACCAAAGAACTGAATTTTTAACTTTATTTAGTTTTAATTAAAGAGTCACAAAGTGGACAGTTGCTTCCATACTGGACAGTGCAGGCCTAACCATCCACCTAGGTGCTTAACTAAACATTAAACATTTGGAGGGATATATTTGTCCCCCCAAATACAATTATCTTCTTGAAGTAACCTCCTTAAAGGCAGAAACCAAGAACTTCACTTGGATACATTTAATAAGATATTAAAATGAAACACCAGGCACCAAACATAATAAAGAGCCCTCCCCTCCCTTCAAGGAATTTACAATATATAATTGGGGATTAGACAGATTATATGAACATAACAAGGCAGAATAAAATAAATGCCATAAAAAGGAACAAAACGCTATAGGAAGATGTCATATTAAAGTGTTGATGGTGAAATTATGAAAGGTTTTGTGAAGATGGTGGTATCTTTAGATGGGCTTTGAAGGAAAGGATGGTAGCATTTTAACACATAAAGGTGAGAAGGATAGGAAGGAATTTGAAGCCAAGGATAAGCATGGGCAAATGCCTTTAAGTATCATGCTCCATATTACCCAGCACAATACTGGATACATTGTAGCAACTCAACAAACCTCCGATTAGATTGAGATTAATGTATACCCCCGGTAATTTGTGCATCTCACATTTCACCTGAAGACAGCCCTTCCCATGCACCACCACACTCTGGAGGATAATGATGCTTTGAACGCAGAGAATGAATAAAGCTGAGACCTTAAGCGAAAAATCCAAGATCTAAGGAGTACGGGACCTCAATTTTACAGCTCTGGTCTTTCAATTCAGTTAAAACAAAGAAGGGATAAGGGGGATAAGAATTCCTGACCTCAGTCCTATATCCTACCTGAATTGTGAGTTCTCCCACTTCTAGAAGATCACAGCCGAGATTGAAAGCCAGAGTGGCAGGCACGAGGGCCAGTCCATCAGCGAGGGGCTCTCCCAGCTGCCCGGAGCTGGGTCCCAGCCTTTCAGAGAGGTCCCAGCGAGGCTCTAGGACCTGCACCGTGGCCAGATGTGGCTGGGAAGTGTTCGCTGACTCTCCGGCCCGGGTCACCCACACCCATTCGCCCTGGAAGAGGCCGAGGCTACGGAGACAACTCCGGCTCACCCCCAGCGAATCTCCAGTTCCTCCCAGAACTCCCCGGAGTCTCCGGACTGTACCGGAAACCGCGAAAAAGGACACCAAGGGCGGGGGTGTGGACTGGCTGCTGTCCCCAGTCTCCGGGCCCAGTTTGGACCGCCCACGGAGCTCAGTCACAGCTAGCCGCGTCCCTGGGCCCAGCAGTCCTTGCAACGCCGGCCGCGTCTCCAGCACCCGTGGTCCGGGCACTGGTAGGACCTCTCCGCGCCTCACTAGCAGCGGCCCGATTCGCGGTCCGAGCCCGGGCCCAGGCGAGGTGCCAAGCAACGCCCAGCCCAGCGCCGGGGGCCGCCGCACAGGCCGCGCCCGCACCCACGCGCCGGAGCCCAGGGCCAGAAGCCGCAACAGTGCACGGCTAACCAGCAGCTGCGGAGGCCCGGGACCCTGCTCTTCGGTCCCTGCGCCCGTTCCCTCCAGGGCCGCCACTAGCAACGCCGGCCCGGCCGGGCTCTCCGCTGCAGGCCGCAGGGCCAGCACCAGGCCATGCCCCGCCGCAGGCCATGGGCCCCCAGGCGGCAGCAGCACCGCCAACGGGGCTGTCTCATTTGGGAAAGGCTCCAGGACCCGCAAGACCGCCAACACCATGGTGACAGGAGCCCGAGGAGGAAAGTGAAGCAGCGAACCTTCCGGAGCCCGAGAGCCGGACCGCACAGGCGCGCACACCGTTTCCGCTTCCGTCGGGGGAGGTGCGAGGCGAGTGGGTGGGGCGTCGGGTGCAGTGCGCTTGCTCTGAGAGGCTGAGCTGCGCCCAGGCTTGACCAGGACAGCGCCTCAATTGGCGGTAACCTAATGACTGTGGTTGCATGGTTTTTACGCACGCGTCCTTTGAACTGTTTCCGGGGATTTGCATTTCTCCCCTTCTAGGAAAGTAACGTCCTCTCAACTCCCTTACACATAGCATGTACTTAACAGTTTATTGAATGACCACGAGCCGTGGACCAGCTTCGGCCTGGGGCTAGGAGCTGTGGGTGGAGTGTTAAGAAAGGAGTACATTCCTCTGTAGAAATTCTACAGTTCCCACTGTGGAACTGTAGGCAGTGAGGTTTGGGGGTTGTGGGAAGGTTGCAGAAGGGAGCGGTAGGATTATAAGACTGTCTCCGACATGCTTATGGATATGTAGTGCCTGCTGGCTGAATTACTAAATGTGATTCATGTGGCCCTGGAGTGCTTGGTGCTGCCACACCTGTTCCCACACATCCTACGAAACCCTCGTCCCAGTGTTTCTTGTCCTGTTTCTTTACTCCCACCAAGCATGAAGCAAAGACAAAGCAGATTCGCTTTTTCATCCCTCCAAAACCAGTTGTTCTCCCCAGCCAATCCTTACAAACTCGAGACCCATTTCCTGTTTCTAGCTTGGGGAGAGAGGGGGCAGCAGAGCGGGAAGAAGAGAGGGGTTCAAGGCTTCCGTCATGAGCGCCAAACCAACAGCTTGTTTCCCGCCTGTGCTGTCACTTAGATCCCATATTTGTTTCTGTCCCCTTGCTCTGTACAAGACACTGGACACTGGTAGGCCATACATCCAGTTATTAACAATATATTTGTACTTAGAATCAATGGATCGGTTGGTGGCAATCTACTCTCTGGACCTTGCATTCTCTTCCAGCTACTCCTTACCAACTTCCCCCTTTCCTTCACGTCAGGCATCTTGAGGTAGTCTTCTACTCTGAACATTATGCATTCCTGAAAATCCAAGAGTTGAATATTAGACTTACATGTAATAAGGTATTTCCATCCCTAGAGCTATAAGAAGATATATATGTATTTAAGATTTTATTTATTTATTTTTAGAGAGAAGGGAAGGGAGGGAGAAAGAGGAAGTGAAACATTAATGTGTGGTTGCCTCTTGTGCACCCTCTACTGGGGACCTGGCTTGCAACTGAGGCATTTGCCCTGACTGGGAATTGAACCAGCAACACTTTGGTTTGCAGGCCTGCACTCAATTCACTGAGCTACACCATCCAGGGCAGAAGATATATTTTTGAATGTCTGATTATAGTTTCTGGAGGTACCTCTAGTCCTAAACCTGAAATTACCCAGTTCTACATCTTCACAGCAGTGTGCAAGAATGTACTAGATAGCCCTGGCCAGTATGGCTCAGCCAGTTGGAGCATCATCCCTTGCACCAGGTGGTTGAGCATTCAATTCTGCATCAGGGCACATGCTTAGTTTTTGGGTTTGGAGCTCATGTGGGAGGCAGCCAGTCAACATTTCTTTCTCACATAGATGTTTCTCCCTCTCTCTAAAATCAATAAATGTATATATGTATGAGAATATATATATATATGAGAATATATTAGGTAGCTGAATTTGCATGAATAAAAATTCCTATTTGGTAGTTCTAAACTATTATGTGCCTCTGTCCCCTGCCTCCTAGAGGGACCAAGGACTGGGAGGATGGTAGGGTGAGTCCAAAGAGGATATGCCTGCCTACTTCATACACAGTAGCAGGCAAGCTCTAGGCTGTAGGACTATGGTGCCCCTTGAGGCCTTAGGAACTGGTAAATACATCTGGTATCCTGTCTCTGTCGGCACCCATACAGACACAAATATCCATCCACAAATAAATGTCCTTTCCTTTCAGGTGTTGCCCCCAGCAAATAATGGCTGGCATGCAGGCCACTCTGCATTACCTTGAAATCGCCATTAATCACTGGGAGCCAAATGCTACTTCTGTAAGATAGCCAGATGCCTGTATTTATTGTTTTTATTCCCACACCTCTTTAGGCTCTTCAACCCACTATAAGCTTCCTTCTACTCGTCTGAAATTTGCCTGCCAAGATCACCCATAACCTTTCAACTGTAGAGTCAAGGTGATGCTGTTTGATCTTTATCTTTCTCCAGAATCTTACACTATTGACCAATTCTTTCACTTCCTTTGCCATTATGACACTAGTTTTCCTCCTACATCTCTGATATTCAACTCCTCCCATTCCCTCACCATCCATCCTCCCCACAATCCAGTGAATTGCCAAATCCTGTTGATTCTACACATTTCTCAATTCCATCCTTTCTTCTCCATACCCGTGGTCATTGTTTTATAACATTGCTCTCCTGGGCAAGGACCACACGCTTATTCTTGAGCCTTCTCCAGTTGCTTCATGTAATCAATCTGTTACTGGTGTCCACTTTCTGAAACATATTCCTCCAGCAGCCTCTAGGTTTGTTCAATTTATTACACTGTATCTTAATCATCTGTTTATACATGTCTGTGAACTTCATCGCACTGGAACTCCTTCAGGGCAGGAACTGATCTTATCCATTATTAGGACATTGGCTTGGGCAGGGGTGGGACCTAAGGGATGTACTTCCTGAGACACTAAACAATGAGGTAGCTTTTCCACCGCGTTCCCAAGTGCGCAAATCTAGCTGGTTCCCCAATCCTGGGATACTTGGAGTAGAAAATGGATCCTCTTTCCAAAGTTGCAACATACCCAGGATACTCATCTCATCTTATCCATGCCCTGGCCTCCAGGCTTCCCCTTTGACTCTCTGCAAGCCGTGTGTAGGAAACGGATGCCCTCTAGTATTCCTGGGCGCTCTCTGCACTAATTTTGCTTATGCAATTAGTGCAGCAATACTCTGATGAAGATAGGTACCCTTCATTTTAGGCCTTCTTTCGAACTGGGAGGAGGAGCAGAGTGGGGAATGAGTGAGAGCCACTTTGGAAAAGAACCAGCTGCGAAGAAAGGCCGAGGCCCACGTACCAAAGACGCCAGAGTGCGGCACTCGGTACTGAGCTTGGGCTTCCCCTTACCCCCGCCTCTTTAACTAAGCTCGACCCACTTTGGGGCGGGACCTCCCACTAGAGCCAATTCTTGGAGCCTAACCCTGGCGGTTTGTACTCTTCCTTCCCAATGAGAAAAAAAGGAAGCAGCTTGGCTCCAATGACCAATCCGAAGAGGCGGTGCCTGGTTGTCAGGCAGGTTTGTAAGAGTTCGAGCCAATTGGAGGCGCAGACACCGATCGACCCGGGCGCAGCGCGCAGGCGGTGGCGAAGAGACGCCGAGCGGGCCGAGTGTGGCCGAGCAAAGCCGGAGCCGGAGCGGGGCCGCAGAAGCTGGGCCGGGTCCGGACCGGCCGAGATGCCCTACAAACTCAAGAAGGAGAAGGTGAGCGTGGCCCTTTAACCCGCGCCTCCGCCTTGGGGCCTGCGCGGAGCTCTGGGAGGGGCCCGAGCCAGGCCCGGGACAGCCCCAGACTGACCCTCCCGTCCGGCCCCCGCAGGACTCCCAGGGCCAGCCCTCAGGCCCCGCTGCTGGTCGCACCCCCAGCCGGTGCGGCAGCTGGGAAAGCGCCTCACCTTGCGCGGGATAGAGTCTTCCTCCCCACTTACACCTCCCGATCTATCCCGGGCCCAGGGTAACCCCCTCCCTGCAGATCTGCCCCACTCCCAGGTCACTTCCCTGATTTCTCTCCCCTTACCACTCACTCCCTCCAAGCCCCTACCCGTTTGCCCTTTGGGTACAGCCCGCCATCTGGGGTAGTCCCTCCAGAACTACTCCCTCTTCCAGCCCCTTCCCTCCCCTTCTGACCCGCCTGGGCCTGGGCCGGCCTTCTCCACCGTCCCCTACAGCCCCTTCTGCTGCTCTGCCAAGCTCCCTGACCTAGAACAGCTCTGCTCTCTCTTCTCCATCAATTCTGGCCTAGGCCCCTCCCTCTAGTTCTTCTTCACACACAAACTTGTGAGACAGGACTGAGCCTTTCCTTCTGTCTGTGGAACCTCAGAATGTCAGTGCTGGACTGGACCTCTGAATGCATTCAGTGCAATCCGGAGTGATACAGATGAAGAGACTGAGGCCCTGAGAGGGAAAGGGACTTGGCCAAGGTCACACAGCCTGCTGGAGGCCCAGCTACAATATCGGGGCTCTTCTAAGAGGCATCAACCGACTTCCAGGTTCATTCTAAACCAGTCACCTTTCCTAATGTGGGCAGGTTCCTTCCCTTAATTCTTTGCATTTTTCCCTTTTTGCATCTGTGCTGGACTTATGTCTTCCTTGGGCCATACTGTCCGCAAATCTGGAATCTGCCCTCACAGATTAATTTTCCTTCTTACCCCCTGGACTAGCTGCCCCTGGACACCCTCACCTTTGTTATGGTGTCCTGACGCAGGCTGTTCTTGATGTTGCCTTCTTTCACCTTCCCCGTCTACCTCCATACCACTTTCCCCTGTTCCTCATCCCTGCTTTTCTCTACCCTCTGTTTCCTGCTGTTGCCGAGGTCTGACTCAGAGGTGTGGCTCCTTTGAGATACAGACTCACACAGAGGATGCTAGAATACCAGTTCCAGCCTCCCCCAGCTTCTCCTCTCCTGGGCTGGCCCCTCCTTGTGAGGGACAGCTCTGGCCTTGTGTTCTGCACCAATATAAAGCAACCCACTTTATGACTCCAGAGGTGTCATGCTTTCATTTGCTCTCTGATTGGCTGGGTTGCTGGGCTTTCACCTCTGACCTTATTAATTAAATTCTTTATCCTGGGGCTGTCAGAGATCTGCCAGGGTTGTCCCCATAACCTCTCAGGGCCTGACGTAGGGTTGGTGATGTTGTAGTAGGCACTGAACCTCCTGGGGTGCTGAGCTGGTCAGCTTTGTGTACCTCACCCAGAGCCTGTCCTTGGGGAGTGGGCATGCTGCGGTGGTTTGGACAGCTTAGCTTTGATGATACACCCACAGGTCAGCCACACTGGGGGCGAAAGGACTCCTTCAAAAGGGCGGAGGGGCATGGAATTCAGGAGTAGCTGGTGAGGTTTCTACCTATCTGAGGTTTTCAGTCTGATGGAACAGATACTGTCCCATCCACAGAAAGCCTTTCTCTATTAGATGATTTGAGAAGAAGAAAAATTTTGATTAGACTTGCTGGGACCGCAGGTATAAGTATTTGGTTGGAAAAGTGTGTTGGAAGGATTTAGGTAGGATACGTGGGGCCAGGCATCTCTGATCCCCTTCGAGGTTTAACATTCTGCTTTTGATTTCCAGTTGCATTTGGCCTCCTCCTTGGTTGGCAAGTCCTGAGGAGGAGGAAGGTGACATGTGACTGAGGTCTTCCTGGATGGGGTGGGGACCAAAAGGAGGGGTGGGTAGAGCATCTTTATTGCTCATCCATCACTTCTCCTGTGTCTCCTTCATCTCTGTTGCTCCCAATCATGACCATCCTTCAGAGCTTCATCCCTGAAGCCTTAGTTGGGAGTGAACTCTCCCTCCCCCTCTGGATTTACAGAACACTTAGTAGGTCACTTGGGCCCCTTTTGTGTTCTCTTGGCCTGGAATTAATTATGGGTAAGTCTTTCTTCTCCTTGAGATAATAACTAAGTTCCGTTTTGGTTTGGTATTTTCCTTGCACACAGTAGGTGCTCAGTGCATGGGTGCTGAGTCAATCCCTTGGGGGGATTTACATCCCTCCTCTTCCCTTGTATTCTGATCTGGGACTTAACATCTTTTAGGTTCCTGAGTCAGGTGCCCCTGCTCCCTCCCGCTTTGTTCTTGTTCATAGTGATAGTAATAACATTGACTAACATTAAGGTTTTCATGTACTAGCCCTGGCCGATGTGGCTCAGTTGGTTGAAGCATCATCCTATAGCCAAAAGGTTGTGGGTTCAATCCTCAGTTAGGGCACATGCCCAGGTTGTGGCTTCAATCCCCAGTCCGAGTGTGGGCGCGTGTGACCCCTGGTCTGGATGCCTCTGATCCCCAGTCAGGGTGCGTATGGGAGGCAGCTGATCA